CCCATTCTTTCTGTTTTGCCAGGACTGCTTCATTGGATTTGGAGGAAATGTAATCAGAAAGCAAGTAAAGGAGAAAGCTAAATGGTACATTACTCACTTTGATGAACTGCTAAAGGAACTGGAAGAACGATAAATTATACAGTAAAATAATATATTTAACAACTATACATCCATTATATGATGCAATTAAACATATATTTGTTTGCAAAGTTGTGTTCTGGATTTTTTTGATGATTCTGGGTGTTGGGTACCTTAATCTCTGGCCTGAAACTTGTGTTGCAAATGGCACCATTCTACTCAAATATTTTGCAATGAAAATGATAAGATTTTTTAAACATCTTTTCCAAGGTGGAAGAAGTCAGTTGATTATTCACCCACAAGTGAAGACCAAAGGTAGGAAATTATCAATAAGTTAAAAATACCTTAATGGATTGGCCCTTGTCAATACTGCAAATCTATTGTTTCAGAATCATTGAAGCTAATACCTCTACTTATTTTGGGAGGCAAAATAAGAAGGGGGCCACAAACAAGAAGTTTGTCTAATCAATAATAATAATAATAATAATAAAAAAGAATAACTTGGTCTAAAAGGTAAACAGCATGGTAAGTACTTTCCATTCCAAAGAATCTCAGAGCTAGGTTAAATAGTGAACAGATAGGTAGGAAACATTACTATTATCTCTGCTTTCATTAAAATAGGCTACAGGAGAACCTGAGATGTCATCCATTGCTCAACATCACTGTTACTCAACCTGTAGTCTGAAAGAGATGAGACGCATGCAAATCTGAGATATATACAATATTCATCAGTGTTCAAGAAGCATATTTTAAGGCGAGTGTTATAGTGGTTCCCATACTTCATTAAAATACTTTAAACTAAACTCCAAAATGGTAGTTTTGTAAAATGGTCACACTGTTTACTTAACTGTTTTATTTATTTAACAATCCAGCCCCATCAACCTTTAAAAAAATGGTCTACTGATTAAGAAAATACTGTGAAACTTATCTAGGCTCTTCCTCTGTCTCAAGTGTGGATCAACACTGTTTGTGCTAGAAATAAGTCTAACCTGTTCTAAGTAAGTCCTTCTCTGAGCTTCAGCTAATGAATCCTAGTTTCTTAAGGATCTGTCTTTTGCGGCTGCAGTGTCTGATCCAAGAGATACAGAACACACTTGATAAATGCTGCCTTTTTGTCAGCAAGTTCCCGACAACTCTTCTGTCTTTTTAACCAGCTTTGCTGACACATCATGGTACTTTTATTTCCCTGACTTACAAGAATCTCACTTCTGATAACGTGAAAAGCTTTACTAATGTTAAAACGTATGTCTCACCTTCCACTTCCTTCCATCCACGTAATACCATCACAGGAGAAAGATGGGTAGATATGACATGATTTGTCCTGGAAAAAAAAAATCTATGCAGGCTCTCATCTTCTGGGTGCTTACAAACAGTCCCAGTATTTTTCTGGAAACTGAAGATTAGGCTGAGTGCGCTAATTCTCTTTCATCCCACCACATATTTCATAGATAGGAAGAGAAACAAGTGATGTGCCTAACTTCCAAAATCTCAGTCTCCACAAGATCATCACAGGTTTTCACAACTTGCAATAGATTTCCTTAATTTAGCATGATTAAATCAAGGTGCAATGAGAGCCCTCCTGTTCAATTGTTTAAGCATCACCAACAATTAAAACAAATGCTGGTTCTGTCCGTTCTGTGACATCATGAGAAAGGACATAAGGGAAAGAATAACAAAGCGCCAGAGAGTGATGAATGGGAGCTATCAGAGAAGCCATCTAATCTTTTTGGCCAAAAAAATGAGGCAGTAATTGCTTGGAAGTTACATCAGCATTTAAATACCAGAGAAGCAGAAGGGTTAAAAGAAAACAAATCCAGAAACAAACTTCTGATGGCTTTTTAGAGAAAGGCGGACATATAAACAGCTATACTGAATATCTGTATACAGAGTTTAAAAAACTTCACAAAAGCCAAGACAGACAATAGCTGGCAGGCTGCTCACTACAACTTTTCTGGGAGTATTAAAGATGATCTCTTTTAAATTCTTCCTGAGAAAAATCTCAGCCAGCTCCAAGGGCAGCTCATGTACAATCATGCCTTTGTTTAGTCAAGACTGCAGGAGTAGAACAAGTATAAACTCTTTCTGTTCTCACTCGGTGTTCCTCTGCAGTTCTACAGTCATGAAGCAGAAGTGTTTCTGTTTGCTGCAGTTTTCTATTGAATTAAAAGGCCACTAAAAAAATCATCTAACATCCAGCTAATCAGCTATAGCTACAGGCCTGATCCTACAAACACTGTGACATGCTTAACTTCAAGTATATGTAATTTCACTAATGTCACAGTCAGAAGACCATGCAGGAAGCTCTGTGCCATAGAGATGTTAACATTCACAGCAGTATCTTCTGCCAGTCTGAGTGCTATGGAAACATGGTGTTGTGCCAATGATTTCACAAGAGCTCTTTAGGTCTGACTGGTTTGAAACAAAATACCAGCACCCTCCCACTGGGCAAACATCACGCCTGACCTCTAGTCCAGGAGGTACCAAAAGGATTACTTAGCTTAGTGGGTTGCTCAGGTCTGTAATTTTTGTCTGTAAAATACCAGAAAAAAATAGGGAATAAAGCAGTGAGGAAGTTTCAGTGTTAGAATCAAGCTACCGTTTTACCTGAACATATCCCATCACAGTGGAGCAGAGTCTGGAGAGCCGCAAACATCAGGCAAGTAGTATCTGGTCTTCAGGTGGGTCTCCTGACTAAGAGCATGGGGAGGCACACTGCTTCATATAAAGCCTTTTATTTTAATGCAATTATTCAGTGAGGCAGAATTGCTTTAAGTTCAATATTCCATTTGCATGAGGGGACTTCTTAAAAGAACAGCTTGCAGTCTCTTCTAGGAAGAGCAGAAGACAACTAAACTTGAGTTTTAATTGTGTCTTCTTGACAGTGGAACAAAAATTGATAATTATCAGAGACCCTTCCAACCACTGGAAAGTGACTTCAGTTCTGAACTCTACAAATTCTGCTCTAAGAAATGCTGAAGTATTGCTAGCCAAAAGAAGGCGGCAGACTTGACTATGAAAGTAAGAGGGAAAATCACAACAGTGTTCACAACAGGGGAAAACCAACTTCAGAAAGGGCTCAGGCAAAGGGAAGCAAGAAAAGACTGTCATTACTTATTTACCTACTATGTTAGGTTCAGCAAGTTTACATAGTTATCTGTAACTAAAATAACAGAAACTAATCTCTCTCTGATGACAGCCAGAGCACAAGTTTGAAGCTCAGAATGACAGGAGGCACATTCATAATACATTACAGCAACACTAGTGGGAATTCAGATAGCATATAAAGACTGAAGAGACTTGTGCCATATGATGTCACCCCACACAACATCCAGTTATTTCTTAGATTTCTTATTCATGCAAAACTTCATGGTCCTTAAACAACAAGAGCTCTGCCTGACTGAATTTGAGTCCTAGTGCTCCCGGCTGAAGGTAAGAAACACAGATCGCATCAGAACCCACAAAATCCTGTAACACCAAAAATGTTTTTTGCCTTTTGCTTCTGACTGAGATTGCTGGTTATGAGGGGGAAGTTACAAGGACAATTCTCTAGGGACAAGAAACATGGGAGGATACAGGGAGAAATAACAAGGACTGGAAGCTGATATTGTCATCCTTTTTTTCCCTTTTGCAGCTAAACAGTAGTTGCAAAACTCTGGAAAAATGACAGCCCCAGATGATAGTACTGTTCATGACTGATTTACAAGAAGGAAGAGCTGAAATGCTGTACTTGGCCCACTGAGTAAGCCAAGCTGAGAACTTAAAGCTAATATAGTACAGAATTTTACTCAGTAAAATCCCATAATCAATTGACAACAGAGGAAAACATGAAAACAGACAAGAATCAGATCAAATATTGACTTTGTTCAAGATGAAATTCAAGCAAAGGCAAGAGTGCAGTGTATTTCACATGAAAAGAAGAAATCAGACCTGAAAAATTAAGCATAATTTGTGGAGAAAAATTGAAAGGAAAAGTATTTTGCATTTATCACCACAGCACTTAAGATCTCTAGAACACTTAGCAAAATGAGATGTAATGGAGATACTGTAAATTCATTTTGGAGAGGGAGAGCAGAATACTGGGAAATGCTGTCCCTGACACACAGAAGTGATATTGGCTAACTAAGCTGAAATATTCTATGCAATTATTCAAATTTTCCATAGTAAACACTGCAAGATGAGAGAAAACACAGGTGGAGCAATACATATAAGGTGCCAGTAAAATGTGAAAATTAAAAGGATTTTATTGACCGATATGTTCTTCCTGAAAACTTGTTGAAATGTACAAACTGGACATTCAGTAACTGATTTGTACATTCTGTATGTTACACTGATTCTTGTAGCCACTTTAAAGAGAGAATATTATTTTCACTTACAGGATGTTCACATCATTGCAGACACCAAAAGTGTTGATACATTCTAGTCTAAAAGTGAAACCAAAATAGAACTGGACATAATGGTACACTGCTTTATGCCAATCCTATTGACTCAACATGCGCCAGTTTCACACATCAATTCATAAGTACCTACTGTACAGTTAGTGAAACACCCGACCAAGCATATGTCTGAAGTCATGACTGCTTAATAAATTAAACCCCTTTTCCTAGACTTCCAGGTTATTTGTAGAGATAAATGTATTTAACTGAACTTGATACCCAGCAGAATGTTCAGACAACCATGTCTTGTCAGTCTCTCTCTGAAAGCTGTAGGTTATACTTCACAAAACTAATTTTAGGCGTAGGTATCTACACAAACGTGCGACTAGTTTCAACAGGCTTCAGAGTCCTTGCAAAACAGAATGCTCTACTCTCTGTTCATAAGCTATCACCTGACAAACAGTATTATCCTCAATTAATGACTGCCTATTTGTAAATTTAGAGCTACTTACTGATTTCAGGCCTGCTAGAACACTTAGGTATATTTCAGAGCTGCCTGAGGGCTTCAGAGCTTCTAATTTCAGAACTCCCATGTTTGTTTTTAAAATGTGCAGTCATTATAATGCTACACAAAGGCCACAGCAACTGTAATGCTTCATTCTGTTGCTGTCACTGAACACTGGGCATTGTCTATGTAGCAGAAGATACTAAATACTGCATGCCATACTTAACCTGAGGAGCTGTCTCACAGAGGAACTCATGTATGTCTTTGTACTTTTTCAATTAACCAATCTTTTAATTGCCATCCTATATGTCTTTTTTTCCTGGTACAATCCTAAGGGTAAAAGGTCATTAAGTTCTGAAGAAAAGAGGTCTCTTTTATAAGCTCAATACAGTACTTTTATATTTCAGACTATGATATACAATGTATACCATAAATTAATTTAAGACAAATACTTGTCATTTTATCTATGTAGGCACAAGTAAATCAGTGACTTTACTGAAGCGGAGAAATCTTCAATGGTATCATGATTCTGGACTCCATTTCCTGAATAAGGGGCACTGAAAAAAATTGAGACAGGGTTTAATTTCACTAACAGAGATCATTAACAGTTCTGCACACTCAGTTTGAACAGATATTATTATCTTCAAATTATTCTCCTAGCTAGTGCATGCCAAGTCATCAGTAACCACCAACATCCTTGTAAATGAAGCATAGTAGTTTGGAGAACAAGTGATTTTTTAAAATAATCTGTCTGTGCCTTTGAAGACAAATATTTATATTCCTTTCCACCATATTGAAAGTTATCTTACATTTTCTGGTATACTTCCTTTGAAATGTACCTTATGGAACCAAAATCTGACACACTTAGCATACTTTGGTGAGTTCTGTTATGAAAGCTATCTTTAATCTCAAAGACCTCCTGGCTTCTGGTTCCAAAGTCTAAATTCCCTTTTCAGAGGAATGTATTTAACAAGGTTCCCATATTTAATGAAATATTAGAGGTAATAATTTAATATAAAGATAAATTTCACTATTGGCTCCCTAAATTTTTGGACACAAATCTGTTTATACAAATTTGTTCTACGGAAGAGGTGCTTGTACAAAAATTTACTATTAATGTAGCAATTTTTAGTAATTAGGCAACTTTTCCAAGTTTCTACGATCAACTGCAAAATTCACTTTACAGCTAGTGAAACGTCCCTCCTTTCCCTTACAGTAGAAAAACTGACACAAAGACACACAAACACCCCCGAGAGATGCAAAACTTTGTATCATTGTGCAATATACTGATGAACAAAAATCATGTCAGGCACAGAAGTCTACCTCCAGCATTCCAGTGAAGTTAATAGGTTACCTGTGTAATAGACTAGTTCATCCCAGCCAGGTTTATGCCATGCAGCGTTTCTTATATCTTCTCTGGTTTGGAGATCTTTGTAAGCTGGTGAGGGAAAACAACAAGCATAAAGCTTAGAAGTAACTCCTTTTCCTTCTACACATGAATAGCTCCCTTAAAAGTATTCTAGTGCGTAATTAAGAGGCTGCAAACACTGGGAAGGAGAAAAGTCAGAAGTTCTTCTCCAGAAAAAGGAAAAGCTCTCAAACCAACACAAACAGAAGGAACTGGGGAAGAAAGAGAATGTCTTAGACACAGGTAAGACAAATAATGCAACAGAGTACAGTTCTACATGAGTGGTGTCAGATTTCTAATGCTGGAATATAATATTCTGAACTGTTGAGATATGAAGATAATACTGCATATTTTCTAAAATAAATATTAGACAATGAGTTTCTTCAAGTTGACACAATCCTAACATGTGAAAAGCAGCTAAGCATTTGTGGAGACTAACACACAGGGAAAGCCAAAACACCATGATGTAGTAATGCAAATAAATACTTGAGTTTCCTTTTTGTAGGTGTGGTATATGTGATGCTTGCAACTAATCTGTAAAAACCTGACTTCAGCATGAATGGGATGGAGAAAACAGATGGCAGGACATGGCTTGTCATGCCTATGTTATTGAAAGCAAACAAGTAGTCCGTAATAGGAAAGGGCCATGAGAAACTGTTGAGGGAAACAAAACAAAACATGAAATGTTCACTTCTGTTTGCCTGTTTTGAAGGATAAAGTTACCTACAGAAAAATTAAGAAAATCAACACTGTTGATATAAAACAAAAAAACCCCTTTTAAGACACTTCTTTGCCTTTTGTAAAAACCTTGTCTCCTGGGCAAAGTCAACAGTCTGTTAGGGGCTGATTTGGTGAGAAAAAAGCAGAGAACGTAAATTTACCCCAAAGGTGATGAACCATATACAGCTGTCCAATTTGTGAGAAAAATCCTCCAACTGCTTCATTACTATCCTGTCGAAAACGAATTGCACGAGCCCTACAGAAGAGAAAAGCAGTCATTAAAAACATCGGATCTGGGTAGGAAATAAGTGATACTTGAAAGGAAAACAGAGTCGAAAGGAAACCAAAATGTTAAACAGCATTTGTAGTACACTTTAGTAATTAAAAATAAGAAAAAAATCTGCAATATACTGATTTTCAGCACTGAGTAATTAAAATATACCTATACATCTTGTTAGAATGAGTCAAAAGTGCAGGCCTACAGTTTCATTAGACTATGCATCAATCATTCTTCAGCGTTAGACTCGGTATAAGGGTAACTGCTGGAACAGTGTAAAGTGGCAGGCCATTTTTATAGCAGGTTCTTCTAAAACAAAATCCTTGAGTTTCAGTCATATCATCTTTGCCATACTCATTTACCACAGATTTTGTGGTAGTGGAATACAACTTTTTTTATTTACATAGACCTTTGCTATGCATCTGTCCTATGCAATACTCCATGACTTGCTGTGTAAATAAGATCAATATTTCTCTTAACTATAAATCTGTTGCATCTTCTAAAACAGATTGGCTACCACTATAGATATGCCTACTTTATAAAAATTCTAAATTCAATTTACTTTATTCAAATTACTGTAATTGAATATAAATAATTGAAAATAGTCCGAATTGCTTAACTATCAACCATTAGAATTGCAAGGACAGTGAACGTACACTGAAAGAAACTGGAAGACTGTCTCAAATGCTTTTAACCTGTATATTAAAATACAAGTGTGCTGCTCAATAGCTTAAGAAGCAACTTGACTTTTAAAGGTTAAAAAAGCCAAGATTTAGCCCATTTAAACTAAAAGTAAGTCAGCTTCTAGTTATCTTGTGAAAATTGTAAAAGATCAACATAGTCTCAAGGAGATCACCACCCTTCACTATGCCGTGTTTTCTGCTGAAAATAAATGGTTTCTGCTATATTGCAGCAAACTAAAAGGGTTATGTGAAGAAAAGCCAAACCACAGAGCCCACAATGTTGTCTGCACTCAGAATTCCTCCTTCTTTCCTCAGAGGATAAATTAAGGCTGAAAGAACTATCTTACAAGTTGCGTAAGTACAGAATCAGGCTATTAACCGGGTGACTGAAATGCTTTGGTACCATTCCGCCACCTCCACTTTGTGATTTTTAACATACATCTCTCAAATAGGAGAAGGCAAGTGCTGAAGCAACACTTACCAGTAATTTCCCCACTCAATCATTGTTCCAGGCTATGAAAACAAAACAAACTGTTAGAAATATAGTTTAAAGAAAGTTAGAATACTTGGACAGTTTTCACAACATTTACGTATGGAAAACACTATGTATTAACACAATCACTTCCTTCGAGTGATAAGTGTATTATAATAATCTATAATTACTCTGTTTACTTACTCTATCACTCCCTAGTCATTTGCTTGAAATTTCCTTCAAATGAAAACACGGGGTTTTCAGCCCTGCAGATACTAGTATCTTGTTGCAGCCTGCCTTCATTTTGGACCCCACACTTTGAGAGCAACAATGACTCAGACACCAGCTTTGATAAGAACCAGATTTTTAAGATGAGGTCTGTTTTCCATCTACACTGTATAGACATGCTTTGAACATTTTAAGGCAACATAGAGCTTAAAAAATAATAAAAAAAAAAATTAAACTTACTCTAAGTTGATAGGATCTCAGTTCATAAATATTAGGCCCCTCTCGGGGAACCGGTTCATTCCAGAAACTAAACTCCAACAATAATTGGTTCTTGCGTGAGAGAAGCATGTTACCTCTTTCTTTGCGAAACTCTGTGAATTCCTAAAAAACAGTATGATCACTGTTAAATAGTGCATTATGTTTCAACAACAAAAAACAGTATACCATATGGTGGCTTAGATTTTTTTTTTTAACGCTACCTTGGGGTTTTGGGACATTGAAATCCTTTAAATTGTCAAGGCATCTAAATTCCTCTGGCGTATTTGAAAATTTCAAGCGGTATGTTTACACAGCACAAAATTTAAGTGTTTCATAAAGCATTCAGGTATAAAACCTCAGTATTTCTGAATATGAGAACAAATCCTTTTCTAAAGAGGTTTCTAAGTTTGTACAGGAAGTGATGAGATACTGAAGTAAAAGCGAGTATCCAAACATGCATTTTTTTGCTCAGACTATTCGTTGTACTCTTCTGACTAAAATAACCAATTCTAACAAAATCAATGCATTTTACCTTATTTTGACGGAGTTTACTCATGACCTCATTGAGAGCTGGATAGCCTCCCTCATATCTCCACAGATGAACTGAAACAGAAAAAAGGAAGCTTATTAGGGATGTCACAGACCAGTGCTAAATGTTATGGAACATCATAGTATAAAATATTCTTCATACTACAGAATTATACAAAAATAGAAATCAGGTAATAGGTTTAAAAATAAATTTTCATTAAAGAAAGCACTACACATTTGAGCATTTAAAGAATAATGGAATTATCTGCTTTTTGAAAAGGGTTCTCTTGGAAAATTTTGCAATATACTCTGAAGATAACAGGGGAATTTCTGAAAGGACTTTTTGTTGCCATGCTACTAAGATGTGATGACTTTACATAACTGTAGTTGAAACTGAGATTCAATTTAAAAGGATGACTTCATTCCAAAAATGTATTTTATATCCATTTCATCTGACAGCAATAGAGGGGTAGACTTTTTAGTTCAGTAAATTACTCAAGCACAAAAAGCAACACACTTTCTATAGGACATGAAAAATGATGCAAATGTTATTTTTAAGATAAACATTACATTAAAAAAAGCAGAAGATATCTGAACATGCTAGAATTGTTACATTTGCTAGGATTTTCCCCACAAAAACAATTTCAGAACGGGTATCTACATCTGAGTTTTTTCAAAGCAGTCTCTCTTTAATAAACCATAATAAATCTCTTTAATAAATCATAACAAGATTTATTTACAAGCACTTAATATAGCAAGGCAACAACATTTCACCTCAAAGAGTCACAAAAGCTATTTTCTCTCCTCTAAAGCAGTCCTGTGCCTTTTCCAGGACAGTGAACTGGACACTAATGTAAGGCACTTCACTATGATTGCAGATTCGTCCACTGCGTCTGCTTCTGCTGTCTTATCCCCAGGGCAAAGTTGATATATCCATCTAATATTAACACAGCCTGGGCACAAGTACTGAACAAGTCAAAACCCCATAATCTGCTTTATTACACTGCCAGAACTGTTGCAATAACATTTTCAAGGCAGGCTATGGATGCAATTACAGATACAGTCTGTGTTAATACGCTACAAAAGCAAGGAATGAGACTTGACTAAGATAGTCTCATTTCGATTGTGTTCTTTCCCCAATTTCCCTTATACTTTTAGAACTGCTTCTCAGACATTGTTTGGTTTATCTACTGTTATTTCTTCTCATTTGTTCAGTGTCAATATTGCAATATGCTGTGAATGCAGGAAAAATTAATGTGTACATGAGTACATTTTTCAATAATGAAGCAATGACATTGATACTAGCATAGCTCTAACAATGGAGCTACATAACAAACTACATAATAAATATCAGTACACCACTCTGTATTCGTGGCTTCCCGTTCCTTCAATTTCCCAGAGTCTGGGAAAATTTTCAGCTTTTCTTTCTACACTAGACTCTTTGTAGTTACCTCTGTAGCAGCTCTTCAGTAATTTCTAGTTCCAATATATTTTCAATCTGCATAGTTAGGCAGTATCCTTATACGAACATGAACAGAAATATTTTTACTTTCCTCCAGCAAAGGCCTAGCTTACTGTTGAGTTTACAATGCAATCATTTTTTCAGATGGTGTGAATGATTTGCATTTCATTATCATACAGCAATTAGAGTATGAAAATCTGAGTAAAGCTTTTATACTGGCCAATGCAAGATAAACTCTGTTATTGTAAACCTTTGCCTTTACCCTAAATATTCAGGAACATGATCTGTGCCCACAAAATATTACAGGACTATGTTTTACAAGGATTTCCCAAAACTGTTAATCTATCACCTGGAAAACATGAAAGCATATTAACAATAGCACAAATTTTAGGAATTAATGCTTTACTGTCAAACTCAACAAGACAAAAAGCAAGCACTGTAAATGTTAATATGACTACTGGTAAGTGATGCACACACACCCTCACTGTATACATTGCTAAAGGTTTACTGTCAACAGACGATTTAAAGAGAAGAAACCTGCCAAGCACACGTTTCACTTGTATGGTTTTACATTCTGTTGTACTTCTATCTCCTACCAGCCTGATCTTGCTCTCCGTACCACGTGTTCCAAGTCCCCACCAGTGCACATGGGTAGTGTTTTTCTTCATGAATCTTTGGCAGCACCTCTTGACTTGAAAACAAGGAATACAGACACTATGTTGCATTTCCTTCAGGGAGGCTACTATAACAAATGACCACACGTTTATCATTATGGTATGAAAATTCACAAGCTCTATTTTTCAGAAGAGAAAGCTGAAATACAAAAATCTGCTACACAGGGGAAAGATAGCTACAACACTATGAAAAATTAAGGTAAGTGTTACCATTTCTTAGACTGTATGACAAATACACAGCACGGTAGAATTCTTTCGATGCAATAAATTATGTCTTTCACCTAAAAGGTTATCCAACACATTAGGAAAATAAATATCAGGCTGTCTCACTTACAGAAAATGCAGCCTAACTACATGGGTGATTTGCTTTCCGAAAAGCTTTTCTTTGTCAAGGGAGGTAGAACACACAAAAGTAGGAAAGGACAGACTTCTGTACCAGTTACAATGCTATTAATTCTGCTGAGCTGAATGAATAAAACCAAGTATTTTCACAGATCCAATGATAACTGTAATTCATAGTATGCGGCCTTATTGCTTTCTCCATTTCAGGAAGTGCTCTTAGTTTGAGGCAACTTACTCATTAAAGCATACAGTGAAACTGCCTTAAAAATACATCCAACACAAAATTTCTATTTCCAGTATTTCTAACATTTTTTCAAACTTTAAAAGTGGCCTACATTAGCATTAGGAAATTAAGTTTTACTGATTGCTGACTCCATTAAGACAGCTTGCATTGCACTGTACTTGGATGAATAAGTCAATTAGTCCAGTTGAACTTTGCCTTTTAATATTTTTCCCTGAATAATTACCCGTCTTACTCAGTTTGGCTCATAGGCAGTGAGTCTCTGCACAATATCAAATAATAAGAAGTAGGCTGGTCTTGGGCTGAGAGTCATTAGATAGGAGTTTTCCTCTTGATTCTGCCACTGACTTTCTAGACAACCTTGACCAAATCTCATTACCAATTTGTACCTCAAGACTTCTCACTACATAGCGTAAATAATATGATAGAATGACTCTCCAAGGGTGTTTTCAAGGATGTTTCACCATCACTTCATTTTGCAAAGCATAATGAGATCCTAGAAAGGCAGCTTTAAACAGGAATGTTAAATTATTACAATAACCCTAAAATATATTTTGTTGCAAACTATAGAAAAAAAAAAAACCCGCCCACAAAATACCTTATGAACACTATCTTTTTACTTTTTAAAAATAACTGTTCCTAATTCTTCAGAAGGGGTTCTTAACCACAGTGACTCATGAAGTACTCTCATAATTGTCCTCATTATATTATTTCTTTATTAATACATGATGACTAATCCTTATTCTGATTTGATACAGAATAAGGAATTAACCTGTTCATCTTTAATTTAGGGAGAGGAAGGAGGGAAGTTCAGAGAGGCTTAGTGTTTTTTATGACTCCATTCTTAAACTTTCTCCTTCCCTGGAATACTTAAATTTGCTTGGGTTTGGAAAGAATAAATCTAACCACACGTACTTCATCTGTTTGCCGTCAGCAGTTTCTTTCTTTGCTATTGTTTTTTTTCTTGAAAATAAAAGCCTCTGCTTTCACTCAACATTCAGGTAGCTCATGAGATAACACAGAGAAGTGGTTCCCTGTCTTGTGTAACTGGACGTTTTTATATTAAGCTTTTAAACAGGAAGCCGGTTGAATGCTAATTGTGCTTCTCTATGTATTTTTTTTTTTTAAACAAAAAAGCTAAAAATACCTTATGATTGAATGTTATTCTAGTGGATTTCTATGTTTGTATGGCAAGGAAAACAGTTTTGGCTTATCTAGCCCCATTTCAAAGCTGGACACATGAAGGCACAGAGATGTTAGATGATCTACTCATGGCTGTACAGTCAAGTAGTAATGGAGTCGAGGACATAAACCAGGAGTTGTGAACTTGCTTCCCCACCATCCAGCCCAGCTAGTGTTCTCACACCACACTTAAAAAAAAAATTGGTTGCAGCAGGGTATCATTATGCTAAGAATGCTTTATTTAACTGACAAGATGATCACTGTCAGCGAGAAAGCACCGCTGTTTTGAAACGTGTGAGGCTCACTACATTTCCAAATGTAAACATACAGTTCTTGAAAAGGCAGTTATTCTGGCTCCAGAGGACTGATTATGTAGGCAGAACAGGACTAATATTTCTGCAATTTCATCCTTAAAGTAGTAAATTTAAAATGTTACTAATTCATACATTTTATAAAACTGTAACTTTCGGGAAAACCTGTAACAGTACTGCTCCCTTTGGAGGATATCACCCCATTGCAAAGATCCTACCCAACGATTTGCATAGTTCTTTCAGAGTAGATCTCAGTAACATTACTTTTGTAGAACGATATAGATGAGCTGAAAGTCAACTTCTGGCTTTATAAAACCTCCTTAAAGTTATACTTGAATTTAATACTGACATGTAGTTTTACTTACCAGAGATCTCCCCCTTCCTTTCCTGTATGCAGATAATAACCACCCTCAACACATTCCTACACGGCAGCTGGAGTGGGACCTGCTAGCATATCAGGATCTACCCTCAGTGACCAGCAATTGTAAGACAACTAAGGGAAGGGGGAGCGCTGTTCCAACAAATGTCAGCAATGTTTTCACAAAAGGCATCATCCTAAATCGCAGCTTAGCAAAACAACACCTCCAAGAGGGAAGGCAGGGGGTAAACAGAGTAATGTATCTTTTGCCATCTCTCTCCAAGAATAGTATGATCTCTTTAACACCATACCCTGAAAGTAAAAGCAGAATTTTTCAACCTCCCCTCCTAATAATTATGGTATTTGCCAATTTTCAGAACAGCTTGTGATCGAATCAACATGTCTAAAATGTGAAAACATAATACACACACTTACCAAAGCTTGTTGTAGGCGTCTAGACATTCTGGTTTTACATTGTGAACTGAAACAACAACATTATGTGAGAAAAGCAGGAAAAAAAATGGTAATGTTAAATATAAAAATATCACTCACTCTGTAGTTTATACAGACTGCTGGTCTCTCTTTTGGCTAGAAGGTTGGAGTGAGCATCTTTCCTTGGATCGACTTTGCGAACAAATAGCGATTTTAACCAACTGTCTTCACGAGATCTGCCAGTTGAAGATACCAGCCCCCTACATATTAACAAGTACATTATATTGTCACTGAGCATGTCCTGAAAATGCCCACAATGCAGGGAAGATTGTCACAATCAAGTTTAATGCAAACACTATCATAACACACAGTTACATATACATGTTACTAAAACTTTCCATGAGCCACTTCCTAGCAAGGTAAAGGCAGTTCTTTCCCCACTGAGATGTACCCTCTCACAAACCATTTTACTACATACAGAGCTGAACAGTTAACCATACACTATCCACTTTGATTCTTTGTGCACGTGGCAGGGAATGGTGGATGGCTGCTTTTGCCGCCTATTTATCTTCTTTTTAACCAAGTGTCTTTGCTCAAGAAGGCTAGGTCTGTCCTGATGTACACAGACAACAGTGAAAAAGAGCAAAAAGACAGTGTGCATAAGGAAAAATTTGTACAGTTTAAATAGGAAAGTAACTGCCATATGTTCCTATGTTGCTTAAATATAGGTCTAAAAAAGGATAAGTTAAATAGCACATCTTCAAGAGAAAAAATATAATGAAAGTCTAATTTGGGAAAAATTTTGAGTGGCAGGAAACAAAGAGCCTGCAAATATTTCAATTCCAAATTCTGACAACTGTAGTATGTAGAGGTACAGATCCACATTCTTTGTACAATGTTCACAATTTCCCTTTCTTTGAAACAGAACAATTTCACTGTCTTTTATCTAATCTTTATGCAGTTTCTGCAAGTACGCTTCCAAAATAATACACTTCCCTTTACATCACAGAGTACAAAAAACATTACAATTGATAACTGTGCTTTTTTAAAATGATGTGTTAAAGGAATTATTCTTCTCCTTCCCAGCTGACAGAAGACCCCTCAATCACCAAAAACTGTGCAGGAGGACAAGAAAGCTGATATATTTAACTTATTCTCTGCAATGTGTGACAGGGGATCCCAAGCTCAAATGTTTTTTCTCCTTTTTCATAAGAAGTACTTCCTTCAGTCTGTCTCTTTTTGATATGGGGTTTCTGCTCAATTACTAAAATATTTCTCCAACATACTAAAAAATGTGGCACTACAGCTGGAAATTTAAACCTCTTCCTGTCTCAGAGGTCAACTTTTCACCCTTAATTACTGACTAGGAGAACCAGAAGATAGCTACCAATGTTCAGCTATAAAGCTGTCTTCCAGATATCAACAGCTTGTGACAATCATTCAAGAAAAAAACAATAGGGAAAGAAACTTCCTTTGGGAAAAATATCTTCATGAACATGCCTGTCTGTATTACACAAAAGTAGTTCACATTAGCAGTGTTTTTCAACCATCAACCTTTCAGTCTCAATGTCTGAAAATAACATAATGAACTGGTCCACCCTGTGGAAGCAGGATGGAGGAAAGGAAAAGTATTTCATAGCAGAGAAACAATAACAACCAGAAGAACAACTGCAGCTGAAATGACCTTCAATGTTAAGAAGTAACTGCTAAATACCTTATTGGTCTATTTATCGAAAATAGTGCCTTCTTTGGCCCTAGTCAAACACACAAACATGTGACTGTGCTGAAAACTAAGCAGCCATTCCTGAGTAAAAGCATTTAAAAGGGCATTCCACGATAAGGCTATTGCTAGAATAGAGTACACAGCTGCCTGGTGCAGAGGTATCTCCGATCTCAGCTGGAGGAGGCGAGGCACAGGTGACTGCAGTTGTGTTGTCACATCTACATCAGGTGCCACAGGAACACAAGCTGTCCCAGAGGACAGGGGGTAAACACCACCTAGTAAATCCAAGTTGTTTTAAAAAGCTCCCTTAAAGTAAGCACTAACACTCACTGGATGGCAACGGGGGCTCTAGGAGACAGAACTCAATCCCAGTCCTGCAGTGCTCATTTTGGCAACTCAGATCTGTAAACTATCGCCATTTACTCCTCCTTAATTAAACGGAGTTAGCAAACTAACATTTAGATCGCTATTCTATGAAGATTATTGTTTGCAGCAAACTTTGAAGATGAAAGAGACAAATAATCATGCTGCTTCTCTTGTGAACCAGCTTTATCAGCAACAAGAGTAAGCTGGAGTTATAGGGATAATACCGAAAAGCAAATTCCTTTGCTATTAAGAGAGTCTCATGACTTGAATGTTAAACTGCACCTAAAACTGGAAATGTATTTAATTTTCAATACAATGAAATGAGTAATACTTTACATTTATGTCAAATCTTTTACCCAGCAATTGTAAAGTTCCTCATGAACAATGACTAACAAATCATGAGTATACATCTAAATATACACTCTACTTATAATAAAAAAAATGGTAACAGCTGAAGTTTATTAAAACAGTCAGTGCACCCAATGTGAGATCCTAGGGCCTTATTTTTAATCCATATCCTTAGAGAAGTCCTACACTACTGGTGTCATGCTAGACACCCACAAATCAAGAAGGCCTGAACTGATTACTGGTTCACTTGTGTGTGCAACAGGTACCCAAGATTAGCTCTGGAAGAGTAGGGACTAAATTCATGGCTTTGGACTGCCAGTTGTGAGCATCAACCACAAATTAGTTCAAAACTAACCCATCATCCAAAAGATCTACTTTTAACTAACTTCTTAACTTTATGCCCCACAATATTATAATATCTGTTCCAAGTAAAACAGATATTGGATTCAAATTGTTCCAAAACCCAAATACCACTAAAGAAAATGTGAATATACAGATAGAATAGACACACTATAAGAATTACCGTCACACTTCACAATTTTTAATTTTCTGGGAACAATACTTATTAAAGAGAGTTTTCATGCAATCTTTTAAGGCACTGCTTGACTTTCCTAGCAAGTTCTTACCCTACAAATGTTACCTATGGGCTTAGCTTTCTGGCTACACAAAAGGATAACACTGAATAGCCTGCTTAGATTAAAAACAATGGTGAAAACACTTCTATCCTATTAACTTCTGCTTTAGCATAAAATATAAACTGAGTGGGAGATATCAGGTCAAATATTTAGATTTTGTAGAAACCCACGTTTGCTTGGAAAAGAAAGAAAAACAACTTGTCTACAATTGATAGTATTTGATCTGTGGTCTAACCAGATGTCAAAGTTTATTTGAAACTAAAAAAACCCCAAAACATGCACATAAAAATCTCACAACATATCCTCTGCACAGCTCCCCCTCTTTGTTTTAAACAGCTGCTTGCAACAATGCCTTCAGTCTTGCACAGGGGCTGCTGCCCATTCTGAGGCTTGAGACAGCAGCTTTCCTTGTTTCAAACAAAAGGAGAAAAAGACATATGTAGATCCATCCCAGCTTGGCCACTTCTGTGTCTCCAACACTCAGGGAGCATGCATGTCTGCTTCCTATATTCATGACATGTGTGCACATCTGTGCCCTCAGAGCTGTGTATGTGCGTGTGCACTCTTGCCATCCAGGAGGTGTGTGCATATGTCTGACTCTTCACACATTAGACATGCAGGCATGCAAATGTCTGCACCCTAAAACCTGATGGATGTCTCTGTGTGTGCCCCAACACCTGGGGGTTGTATGCATGTGCACACACATCCCAACTCCAAAGGACAGTATGAATCCCTGTGCCCTGACATCCAAGGAGTGCACATACATGCTGAGGTCCATGTGCAGCTGTGCATCACGAAGGCAGGAAGATGCTGGTGTGCACAGCCATACACTCCAACAGTGGGGGAAACATGGACGTTGGGTAGGGGTGCAACCTGGCACCGTGAGTATGGAACAGTTGTGCATCCTTACACCAATGAGTGGTGTTGTGTGTGCAGCCATGCACCCCAACACCAGAGGACACGAGATGCAGGGTGGCCACGCACCCTGTTGCCCGGAGTTGGGATGCAGAGTGGCTGTACACCCTGATCCTGGAATTATATTTGGGTGCAGAGCATTCATATACCCCAACACCAGGAAAACATGTCTGCAGGGTGGCTGTGCACCCCGAAACCCAGTGATACGTGGCCGTAGGGTGCCCATCCACCCTGTTGCCTGCAGTGACAGGGTGTCCGTGCAGCCTGAGCCCGGGGGACAAGTGGCAGGGGGTGGCGGACACCCCGTCCCCGGTAGGGCAGGGGTGCGGCGCGGCCGGCCGGCAGCGCGGCCATCATCCCCACCCAGGTGCGGACTTGGGAGAGGGAGGGGAAAGGGCTGGCCTTGGGGCCCACGACCTTGAAG